TGACATAAAATGTACAGATTTGAGTAGATAAAATGTGACCTGTAGCAATATGTAATCCTAAATGTAGTCCTTGTCATTGGGGGAAATGAGGTGTTCAGAGACAGATGGTCACAATTAGCATCTGAAGGGACTAGCTTCCTCTGGAAGTGACACCTGGGGGCTAATAAGATTTGTCACCTTCTGGGGAAATCGAGAAGGAAACGGCTGGAGACAGGTTGGCTTCATGACAGCGGGAGACCAGAGCTTTAAAGCATATCCATACATCAAAGGAGTATGTTTCATCCCTCATACAAGGGAAAATATTAGTTGCAGAGAGATGAAAATACTTCCTTCTGATGGGGCGCTCTGTGGGTCACATCGACATATAAAAACTATATTTGTGACCTATGTAGAATGTCAGATAAATGCAGGAAATGGTTAGGTGGTGCTGGAGTGCGACAGCCGAACAGTGATTGGTACTGTTGCGACCAGACTGATGCGCTGGTGTCAGTAATCCAATCCCTGACTTAGTGATTCAAGCCGGTCTTGGTCCGATTGACTTTGGGCAGGTCAGCACCCAGAACATCCTGTGGGCGGGTACAGAGTCAATTGGCCGAGGACTAATGTCCTGCCTACGTCCATATCCCCATAAATGGGTTACCCGGACATTGGGACAGTGTGATTTGTACGGAGCCGGTTCGATTTGACTGACGGATTGCTGACGCTCTGACTTGCTCCAGTCGCAGGATAGATCTCGGTAAAAGTTTTATTCTGTTTTTCATTCCCTTTTATTTTATAGTAATTAGTCATTTGTGTGTCTTCTTGTATTTTTTGTATTTCTGTAACTTTTTATATTTTGTACATATTTTATGCTCCGCCCACTTCGGTATATTAAATCATAAAATTAATTAGTGACTTCTGGGTACTTAAGCTCAGGCTCATATCTCCGGAGAGATTGGATTGGAGAGATCAGATTGGAGAGATTAGATTGTATTGTATTTTAGTGCCTTTATACGCTCGGTCAAGCTCATTGCCAATCTGTATGCAATTGCACTGTGTGTGGGCAGATTGCGTGCAGATTGTAAAGGTAACAGATCGGCCAGACGGAGATCTGTGTGTGTGTGGGGTGTCCCAGCAGACCGTTCTGCGGATAAACTGTTGGGTGGTTGCAGGCTACCGTTTGTGGTGTGTCTGGTGCGGGGGGGGGTGGACAGTGGAGGAGTGATTAACACCGGGGTTCAAGCTAGGATAGCTGGAGGGACTCTAGAAGGGTGTGATTCCTAAGCTGCTCAACCCTAGTCAGTGCACCAGATTGTATGTAAGATTTGTATCTGCCAGTGTGTGGTCAGCCAGCTGGATTGGAGTGGAGTCTCCCTCCGGTGGTGGCCAAGAGGTAGTGCGGGCTGTGAAAGTGTATCACGGCTGATCTTATATACGGTTTTTATATATTCAAAGTTGAGTCCCCTTTATTCCCTCTTACCCCCAGTCACGGCCACAAGGCACGCCTCGGTCTGCTAGTCGCTGTGGGCGTGGCGTGTGGGGGATCCGTGACAGGGGGAATCTAAGAAAAGTCAAATGTAGACTCTAATGTTAGGGAGAACTCTGATGGGGAACCTGCTATACGGTGGGACTCTAATGAGCGCTCTGATATAAGGGGGAATTTTGACTCCAATGGAGACCCTGATGTAAGGGGGGACTCTGATGGGGACCCTGATAAAACAGGTGGTTTTATGGGGACTGATAGAGACTCTGATGTGAGGGGGTGGGGGGGGGGGGGTTCTGATATAAGGGGAGTCAGTTGGGGACTTTTATAAAAGGGGGTAGTCTGATAGAGACTGTAATGTACGGAGGACTCTGATGGGGAATGTGATGTACGGAAGACTCTGATGGGGGAATGTGATGTAAGGGGGGGACTCTAATGGGGAATTTGATGTAAGGGGGGGGACTCTCATGGGAAATGTGATGTAAGGGGGGGGACTCTCATGGGAAATGTGATGTAAGGGGGGGGGGACTCTCATGGGAAATGTGATGCAAGGGGGGGACTCTGATGGGGAATGTGATGTAAGGGGGGGGGGGCTCTGATATAAGGGTTGGACTCCGATGGGCAATGTGATGTAACGGGGGGGACTCTGATGAAGAATGTGATGTATGGAGGACACTGATGGGGATGGGGATGTGATGTAAGGGGGGGGGGGCTCCAATATAAGGGGTGGACTCTGATGGGCAATGTGATGTAAGGGGGGGCACTGATCTCTGATATAAGGGGTGGACTCTGATGGGCAATGTGATGTAACAGGGGAGGACTCTGATGGGCAATGTGATGTAACAGGGGGGGACTCTAATGGGGAATTTGATGTAAGGGGGGGGGGGACTCTCATTGGAAATGTGATGTAAGGGGGGGGGGGGACTCTCATGGGAAATGTGATGCAAGGGGGGACTCTGATGGGGAATGTGATGTAAGGGGGGGGCTCTGATATAAGGGTTGGACTCCGATGGGCAATGTGATGTAACGGGGGGGACTCTGATGGGGAATGTAATGTAAGGGGGGACTCTGATGAAGAATGTGATGTAAGGGGGGACTCTGATGGGGGCTTTGATAAAAGGGGGGACTCTGATAGCACTGTAATATACGGAGGATACTGATGGGGAATGTGATGTGAGGGGGTTACTCCGATATAATGGGTGGACTCTGATGGGCAATGTGATGTAAGGGGGGGCTCTGATCTCTGATATAAGGGGTGGACTCTGATGGGCAATGTGATGTAACAGGGGGGGGACTCTGATGGGGAATGTCATGTGAAGGGGGGGGACTCTGATGAAGAATGTGATGTAAGGGGGGACTCTGATGGGGGCTTTGATAAAAGGGGGGACTTTGATACCGACTGTAATGTATGGAGGACATTGATGGGGAATGTTATGTAAGGGGGGGGGGGGCTCTGATATAAGGGGTGGACTCTGATGGGCAATGTGATGTAACGGGTGGGACTCTCATGGGGAATGTGATGTAAGGGGGGGGACTCTGATGGGCAATGTGATGTAACAGGGGGGACTCTGATGGGCAATGTGATGTAACAGGGGGGGGGCTCTGATGGGGAATGTGATGTACGGTGGACGGCTATTCTCTCCTCTGTCCGGATTATGAGCCGTCAGCCTGGAGTGCGGAGTCTGCGGAGGTTGAGTCCGGAGGGGCGAATTTTCTCGGTTTGATGCGATGTCATTGGCTGGGCCGGAAAGTCTGCGTCATTATCGAAGCGCACGGTCTGCTGAGCGGCGGGTTCATACGGGGGAGGGAATCTGCTTCGCCCGCTCCCAGAGATAAAAACAATCATCTGAGCGGGAGGGGCTGCGGGCCGCCTCTCTCTCTGCAGGACGGTGACAACACAGGAGCATAATTGGGGGAGGGGGGCAGAGCGTTGTCACCCGGCATCAGGAGGCACCTGAACAAGGATCACCATGAACTAGGTTAGCGAAGGATGCGGATTAGCGCAGCGTTTTGCCATGTACTGCCGGGGTTGGGATTCAAACCAACGACCTGAGCGCTGCCAGGAGGAAGTGCTGACCGCATAGCCACTCCCAGACGTGTGCAGTCTGCTTCCTTCCGAATTGAAATTCGGATTCATTTTTCATTATTCAGAGATTCTAATGTATCCAAATTAAAATAGTAACTGATTTGGATGAATCTGAAATAACAAAAGAAAAATTAATCTGAAATTCGAATCGAACAGAATTTAACTTAAATACGAAAGCAAGAAAAGAATAAACGAGAATAGAAAAAAATAAAGGAATAGAATAGAAAAGAATAGAATAGATTTAAAATAGAAAGCGTATAACTGTCTTCCGAAATTTGAATTTTGAATAAAATAAATTCAAATTCGTAATACCAATTCGACCGAATTCGAAAATTAGACTTTTTCCTTCTGAAATTCAGAATCGAATTGGTACCCTCTGGTGTCCCGCACCTCCTGGATCTGACAGGTGGAATCTTGGGGGCTGAGGGTACCTGAGCCCCCAGTTGGGGGCATGATATTATCCAAAATGTCGCCTTAAGAGTTCCCTTCACTGGAACTAGGAGGCCAAGCCCAACCCCTGAGAAACAATCCCACACCATAATCCCCCCTCCACCAAACTTTACACTTGGCACAATGCAGTCAGGCAAGTACCGTTCTCCTGGCCACCACCAAACCCAGACATGTCCATCGGATTACCAGACAGAGAAGTGTGATCGGTCTCTCCAGAGAACACGTCTCCTCTGCTCTAGAGTCCAGTGGTGGCGTGCTTTACACCACGGCATCCAACGCTTTGCATTGCACTTGGTGATGGAAGGCTTGGATGCAGCTGCTCGGCCATGGAAACCCATTCCATGAAGCTCTCTACGCACTGTTGTTGGGCTCATCTGAAGGACACACCAAGTTTGGAGGTCTTTAGCTATTGACTCTGCAGACAGTTGGCGACTTCTGCGCACTGTGCGCTTCAGCATGCGCTGACCCCGCCCTGTCATGTGACGTGGCCTACCACTTGGTGGCTGAGTGGCTGTTGTTCCCAGTTGCTTCCACTTTGTTATAATCCCACTAACAGTTGAGCGTGGAATATTTAGTAGCCAGGAAATGTCACGGATGGACTTATTGCCCAGGTGGCCACCTATCACGGGACCACGCTTGGAGTCACTGAGCTCCTGAGAGCGACCCATTCTTTCACCAATGTTTGTAGAAGCCGTCTGCATGCCTAGGGGCTTGATTGTATACACCTGTGTCCATGGAGGGGATTGGAGCACCTGAATCACATGATATGGAGGGGATTGGAACACCTGAATCACATGATATGGAGGGGATTGGAACACCTGAATCACATGATATGGAGGGGATTGGAACACCTGAATCACATGATTGGAACACCTGAATCACATGATATGGAGGGGATTGGAACACACCTGAATCACATGATTGGAACACCTGAATCACATGATATGGAGGGGATTGGAACACCTGAATCACATGATATGGAGGGGATTGGAACACCTGAATCACATGATATGGAGGGGATTGGAACACCTGAATCACATGATATGGAGGGGATTGGAACACCAGAATCACATGATTGGGAGGGGATTGGAACACCAGAATCACATGATTGGGAGGGGATTGGAACACCAGAATCACATGATTGGAACACCTGAATCACATGATATGGGGGGGATTGGAACACCAGAATCACATGATTGGGAGGGCGGGGCCAATACTTTTGGCCATACAGTGTATCATATTATGCATGTGACCACCTGTCCTTGCGTGCTATTGGACGAATGAGGAGACCTGTCCTGATGGCCAAATTTTCCCAGACATTAGCAGGCCCCGGGTGCGTCCCCTCTTCTCCCCGTTGCTCTCTATCAGCTTGAAGCCATCAGGCACTAGACAAGTGCAATTCGTTTCCTTCTGAAATGCGGACAAAATTTTATTTATTCAGAGATTCGATGTATCCGAATTTCCAAATTATGATAGTAACAAATTTATATAAATCCAAAACAGCAAAACGAAATTTCAGCCGGAAATTTCAATCGAATTTTAAAAACACATTTGAAACATTTTGCTGAATATTGCTGATTTCCTTCAAAGACTATATCAGTGCTGGAATATAGCCGTCGTCCGAAATTCAAATTGAAAAAAAGAATAGAATAGAATAGAACAGAATATAACAGAAAAAAACAGAATAGAAAAAAATAGAATAAAAAAAAATAGAAAAAAATGAATAGAATAGAATATAGCTGTCTTCTGAAATTAAAATTTTGAAAAAGAATAGAATAGAAAAATAGAGTAAACAGAATAGAATAGAATATAAAAAATATAAAAATAATATAATAAAATAGAATATAAATAAAATAATAGAATAGAATAGAACATAAAAGAATAGAATAGGATAAAAACAGAATGGAAAAAATGAAATGAAAAGAATATATAATAGAAAATAATAGAATATAGCAGAAAAGAAAAAAATAGATTAGAAAAGAATAGAGTAGAATAGAAAAAAAAAAGAATAGATGGGAATAGAATAAATATAGCCACCTTCCAAAATTTGAATTTGAAAAAGAGTAGAACATAAAAGAATAGAATAGAACAGGATAAAAACAGAATAGAAAAAAATTAAATAGAAAATAGAATAGAACACACTTGAAAAGACTAGAATAGAACAGACTAGAAAAGAATAGAATAGTCAGAAAATAATAGAATATAGCAGAAAATAAAAGAATAGAGTAGAATAGATAAAATAGAATAGAATGAATACAGCTATCTTCCAAAATTTGAATTTAGAAAAGACTAGAACATAAAAGAATAGAATAGAATAGGATAAAACAGATTAGAACAAAAAATCAAATAGAACAGACTAGAAAATAATAGAATAGCAGAGAAAATAATAGAATAGATTAGAAAAGAATAGAATAGAAAAAAAATTAAACAGAATAGATTAGAATGAATATAGCCATCTTCCAAAATTTTAATTTAGAAAAGAATAGACTAATACAGAGCAGAATAGAATAGAAAAGAATAGAATAAAATAGACTCAAAATAAACAAATGTAATAGAAAAAATAGATTAGAATAGAACAAAATAGAATATAGCTGTCTTCTGAAATTCGAATATCGAAAAGAATAGAAAAAAAAACAGAATAGAATAAAACAGAACATAAAAGAATAGAATAATATAGAAAATATAGGAACAGAATAATAAAAAATATAGTCTAGAATAGAATAAGAAAGAATATAGCCATCTTCTGTTATTTGAATTTCGAAAAGAATAAAAACAAACAGAATAGAATAGAGAATAAAAGAACAGAAGAGAAAAAAAACAGAATAGAATAGAATAGAATTGTTTTCTGAAATTTGAATAGCATAGAACCAGCTATTCTTCACAATGAATTTGGTTCGATATTTGCGATTCAAATTAGATTGGAATTCATCGACCTGAATCCGGTTGCGAAAAGTCAACGAAACAAAACGATTCCGGATGCAATGAAACTAAACCGCGCACCTTACTTACGGCCCAGATGTTCAGTGTGACCCCTGATGAATCTCGTGGGCTCCAGGCAGCCATCTTGGAGAGGACGGCATATCTCCATGGATACTGGAATTGCATGGGGTTTGGGCGCACCATGACCCTGGTTAGGGGTTCTGACCTTCTCTTATGTCCTCGGATGCATCGAATGACGCAGAATCTCTAAGTTATAGAATTCGCTGTCAAGATGGCTGCCTACAGGATTTCAGTATCCAAAAAGATATGCCGTCCTCCCCAAGATGGCCGCCTGGAGCCCGTAGAAGGGGACAATTAGTCTTCAGTGGGCTCTTACCAGCCTGAAGAAACAGCACAGTGCCACCTTCAGGTTGGGGGACATACAGCAGCCTCCTGCTGAATACAGTGCAGTGCCCCTAGTGGGGTAAAATCAGTGCCCCCCCAATGTCTGTGCATTATATGTCAGCAACCCCCCCCCCCCAATGTGCATTATATGTCAGCAGTCAGCAAACCCCCCCCCCAAAAAAAAAAAAAAAAAAATTGAAGCACTGATCTTCACACCCCCCCCCCCCAGAATAAATTCCCTTTGCCAGCCAAAATTCTCCCCCCCAAAATAATTTCCTCGCTTCCAATGCAAATCCCCCTCCCAGCTCAGATTTTCTCCATTCCTAAATCCCCCCTCCCCAGCACAATTCCTGTACCCCTCAAATTTCCCCTCTGAGCATAAACCCCCCCCAATCCCCCTTCCTAACAGAAATACACCCCCTTAGTACAACGCCCCCTAATCCCCTCTCCTACCACCAAACCTCCCCCCAACATGTCCCCTTCCTAACAGAAATACACCCCCCTTAGTACAACCCCCCCCAAATCCCCTCTCCTACCACTAGTCCTCCCCTTAAAATTTCCCCTTTCAACACAAATCCTGTCAATCATCCCTACTGGCACAAATCCCCCCCCCCAAATCCCCCTCCCTAACAGAAATACCCCCCCCTTAGTACAACCCCCCAAAATCCCCTCTCCTACCACCAATCCTTCCCCCCAAAAAATTCCCCTTCTAACACAAATCCCTTCAATCACCCCCTACTGGCACAAATCCCCCTTCCTAACAGAAATCAAACCCCCCATTGTACGACCCCCCCAATTCCCTCTCCTATCACCAATCCTCTCCCCAAAATATCTCCTAACAGAATACATCCCCCTTAGTACAACCCCCCCTCCCCCCCAAATCCCCTCTCCTACGACTAATTCTCCCCCCAAAATGTCCCCTTCCTAACAAAAATACACCCCTTTTAGTACAACCCCCCAAAATCCCCTCTCCTACCACTAATCCTCCCCCAAAAGTTCCCCCTTTCAGCGCGAATCCCTTCAATCATACCTACTGGCACAAATTCCCTTCCCCCCTCCAAATCCCCCTTCCTAACAGAAATCACCCCCCCTTAGTACAAACCCCCCAATCCCCTCTCCTATCACCAATATTCACCCAAAATGTCCCATTCCTTACAGAAATACACCCCCCTTAGTACAACCCCCCCCCCCCCCCATCCCTCTCCTACCTCTAATCCTCCCCCCCAAAATTTCCCCTTCTAGCACAAATCCCTTCAATCATCCCTACTGGTACAAACCCCCCCCCACCAAATCCCCCTTCCTAACATAAATACACCCCCCTTAGTACAACCCCCCCAAATCCCCTCTCCTACCACCAATCCTCCCCCCAAAATGTCCCCTTCCTAACCAAAATCCACTCTCTTAGTACAACCCCCCCTCCTATGACCAATTTCCCCCCCCAAAATGTCCCCTTCCTAACAGAATACGCCCCCTTAGTACAACCCCCCCAAATCCCCTCTCCTACCACTAATCCTCCCCCCAAAGTTCCCCCTTTCAGCACGAATCCCTTCAGTCATACCTACTGGCAGAAATTACCCCCCCCCCAAATCCCCCTTCCTAACAGAAATCACCCCCCTTAGTAAACCCCCCCAATCCCCTTCACTATCATCAATATTCCCCCAAAATGTCCCTTTCCTTACAGAAATACACCCCCCTTAGTACAACCCCCCCCCAAATCCCCTCTCCTACCTCTAATCCTCCCCCCAAAATTTCCCCTTCTGGCACAAATCCCTTCAATCATCCCTACTGGTACAAATCCCTCCCACCAAATCCCCCTTCCTTACAGAAATACATCCCCCTTAGTATAACCCCTCTCCTACCACCAATCCTCCCCCCAAAATGTCCCCTATCCAAAATCCACTCTCTTAGTACAACCCCCCCCCCCCCTCCTATGACAATTTCCTCCCCAAAATGTCCCCTTCCTAACAGAAATACACCCCCTTTAGTACAACCCCCCCTCAATCCCCTCTCCTACCACCAATCCTCCCCCCAAAATGTCCCCTTCCTAACAGAAATACACCCCCTTTAGTATAACCCCCCAAATCCCCTCTCCTACCACCAATCCTCCCCCCAAAATGTCCCCTTCCTAACAGAAATACACCCCCTTTAGTATAACCCCCCCCCCCCCAATCCCCTCTCCTACCACCAATCCTCCCCCCAAAATGTCCCCTTGCTAACAGAATACACCCCGTTAGTACAACCCCCCTCCCCCCCAATCCCCTCTCCTACCACCAGTCCTCCCCCCAAAATGTCCCCATCCTAACAGAATACACCCCCTTAGTACAACCCCCCCCCCCCCCCTCCAAATCACCCATTCTAGCACAACCATCCAAAATCCCCTCCGTGCCCAGAGCGTTCGCCCCTCTGGCCCACCCCTTGTCCCGGCCCTGGGTCACATGTCCTGTGCGTGTTCCCACAATGCAGTGTGAATGGGGTCATGCCTAAACGCTTGTAAATGCACAGCTCCTTGTACGGCGTGCGGACGCATTCACATCCAATCGTGTCGGTGCATTTACACGCCAATACATGCGACTTTGTGATTATGCAGTAAGAGCGAGCTTAGATATGAGCATTATAATCACGGCTATGTGGATGAGCCCCACGTCTCCATCACCCTATAGATCAGGTGAAGGCCGGGCATGGGGCGCGCAGCACACTCCGGTACCGGGCCACAGCGGTGCCACCTCTGCGGCGGAGCGACTCTTCCCCGCTGATCTATGGAGCGCCTCTTAGCAGCGCTGATTTAAACACGCCAGCTAAAACTAAACTCGCCG